ACCCTGGGTTCAATACCTGGTACCAAAAAATAAAAATAAAAAATAGTAGTCTGATCTGTTATTTAAGCAGTCCATTCTGTTACTTTTGGACAGAGGATCTATCTCTTAGGTTGCTCCATTTTTTCCTCCCTAAGATTGTGTTTGGATGTGTATGGGAGGTGGGGGGGATACTGAAGGTCATGGCAATCTGATGGCAGAGAGGGAAGACATGAGGTTCTTGGGCATAATTTCTTTGGCTTCCCATGGTCCCTTGACCACCTAAGTGCTGCCCACTTCTGTTCCTCACCCTTTGTCTCATGCTTCCAGGCTGAGGAAACACCAGATATTGTGACATATCAAAAATTACATTGTGACGTGAGTTGGGAAGCAGTGTCGTGCCTTAATTAGCATGGAGAGGAACCCTGAGTCATCTGTGACTCCCCAGGCCCCTTGCCTGGCTGCCAAGTCCTCTCCACTCTGTTCCCTGTGAGGCCCATCACTCCTCTCATTCTAGTCACCAGGTTATTCAAGACCTTGTCACCTCTTCCTGTCTGGGTCTAGGACTATTCCTGGTTCAATAAATGTTTTAAAAGACTCCATCAGAGAAGCTGCTGGGTGCTCCCTGCCTACAAGAGTCTCTAGAGAGACACTTGTCCTAGGATAATCATGCAATTAGAGGGTGGGGTTCCAACTACATGGTGATCAAATGCTGATCAACAGACTGTGTGGAGATGGCTGAGTCTGAACTACCTGGGGAATTTTTGTGGGAAATTTTGAGTGTGAATTAATGTAAATTGAGAATCATTGCTTACATTTGTGTACCTTTCCCAGTTTGATGTTAGTTTAAATTATGGAAGTTAAAAAGAGAACCTGCTCTTATTTCACAATAGCTGGGCACAGTGCGACACACCTGTAATCCCAGAGACTTGGGAAGCTTAGGCAGGAGGATCAAAAGTTCAAAGCCAGCCTTGCAACTTAGTGAGACCCTCAGCCAGTTAGTGAGACCCTCAGCCACTTAGTGAGACCCTGTCTCAAAACTAAAAATAAAAAGGACTGGGGATGTGGCTCAGTGGTAAAGTGCTCCTGGGTTCAATACCCAGTACCAAAAACAAAACAAAAAAACATTATAATGACAATAATATTATGGAGAACCAAAGAATTTTTAAAAGGCATGGTTAGTCATAAGTCACCTTTGATAAAATAAATGGGAGCCAAAGTCATTTAACAAATTCTATCCTCTTCAATGCTCTTATGCTTGTGGGAAATTTTTCTGAAAGCTCGGGTTTCGGTGATTATAAGGTCCGGGTGCTTTTTCTTGTTTGCTTCTCTCTTCCTAGCCCTAGGGACTGAGCTGAAAGGGATGCACCCTGGGAATTCCTGTGCTAACTTGGGTTCACTGGGGGGCACTGCTAGGAAAGTGGAGACTAGAGGAGACAGGGGGTAGGTCTTCTTTACCCTGCTTTCCATTTTCTGGCCAAAGTGGCATGGTTCCTCCAAAAGGCCAACTCCTGATGGCTGTCTCTTCTTCAGGAGCTCCAGATACTGCTGGGGCAGTAACAACATCTCACAGTTGCTAATCTCTCAGTAACTGATACCTGTTCATGAGATCCTACACATAATGCCTTAAGTCTCTTGAACCATCTGAAATGGATTCTGTTTTCTTCAGGGAGTCTCCAACACTTAAGTCTATAATAAGAAATTCTTAACCGGTATCAGCTAGGAAAAGAGTGATGTTCTGACTTGTTGATGACTGATGACATTAACTATGTGAATGCTGGTATTTTATTGGTATCAGTAGAAATATAATTAAAATTCTAAATTAATGCCTTGAAACTTGTATTTGTAAATTTTATTGCCTCTTCAAAGTCACCATCTTAGGATGCTTTAATACTAACATATTAAAATGTTCTGAGGCTGCCTTTTTGAGACTTCATTACCCAGGCACTGTAGTACATGCCTGTAATCCCAGTGGCTCAGGAGGCTAAGTCAGGAGGATGGTGAATTGAAAGCCAGCCTCAGCAACTTAGCGAGGCCCTAAGCAATTTAGCAAGACCCTGTCTTTATAAAATTATAGAAAAAAAAAGGGCTGGGGATGTGGTTCAGTGGTTAAGTGTCTTCAGGGGATTGAACACAGTTCAACCCTTGGTATGCACGCCCCCAATTTTTTTTTTCATTTAGTGCTCACAACATTATTTTGAATAATGCGCGAAAATTGTTCTCCTTTAATAGCAGATTTAATTCAACAGGAATTGTTCTAAGAAAATTTTCAATAATTCCATGATTATATCATCTTTCCATTGCTTTGACAAAATACCAGAGATAAAGAACTTATAAAGAGGAAGGATTTATTTAGACTCACAGTTTCAGAGGTTTCAGTCTGTGGCCAGCTCACTCTGTGGGTTTTGGACCCGTGACAAGGCAGAACATCATGGCAGGGAGTATTTGGCGAAACAAAGCTGCTCCCCTCAAGTTAACTTGGAAGCAAAGGGAAAGAATAAAGTGTTGGGGTCCCAATATGTCTTTCAAGGGCATATCCCTAATACCTAATTTCCTTCCTTTAGGTCCCATACCTTAAAGGTTCTACCAGCTTCCAATAGTGCCTCAGGCTGGCAACCAATCTTACAACTCATGGCTTTTGGAGGACATTTAAGATCCAACTTATGGTATTCCACCTTTGGTCCCCAAAGGCTCATGTCCATCTCTGAATATGAAATGCATTCAATTAATTTCCAAGAGTCTGCAAAGTCTTAGCCATTCAGCACTGCTTAAAAGTTCAAGTCCAGGGGCTGGGGATGTGGCTCAGTGGTAGAGTGCTCACCTAGCATGCATGAGGCACTGGGTTGGATCCTTAGCACCACATAAAAATAAAGATATTGTGTCCACCTAAAACTAAAAAATAAGTATTAAAAAAATGTTAAAAAAAAGTCCAAGTCCAAAGTCTCCTCTGAGACTCAGGCAAACTCTTAGCTGTGAGTCCCTGAAAAAAAAAAAAATCAAAAAATAAGTTACATACTTCCAAGATACAGTGACAGAGTTTAAACGTTTCTACTCCAAAAAGGAAGAACAGGAACATAGAAGGAGAAACTGGATCAAAGCAGACCAAAACCCATAGGGTAAAAATTAAATTCTGTAGCCCCATGCCCAGCATCTGCAGTTCATGAAGGTGTGATATGAGCCCCAAAGAGCTTGGACAAGCCACCCCTAAGGCATTACCAACTGCAGCCCACATGTGTTTCTCTTGGGCTAGTTCTGAACACCATCTTTAGCTTCTCTTGGCAGGCATCCCACATTCTTGGCATCTCTAACTTCCTGGGGTCTTCACTGTGGCTTCAGCTTTACTGTCATAGCTTCATGAATCGCCCTCTCAGGGGCTACCTGCAGGAACTCTGACCCTTCCACACATTGCCTGGCCTCCCAGGCTTTTCTTTGAAATGTTGGTAGAAGCTTCCATGACTCCACAACTCTTACAGTCTGCATGGCTGCAAAACCAGCATCAAATGCTGGACAATGCCATAGTTTGCCTCAGGCTTGAGAGGTAGTCAGGTCCACCTGAACCAGAGCTGCAGTGGCTTTGGAGTGCCTGGGTGGTTAAATATGAGAAAAAAATAAATCCTGGGGAAATAATTTCCTACTCAATTTTATGTCAGCAAGGCATCTTGGGCTTTCTTCTTAAACATAAGTCTTTAAGCCTCTGATGGATGTAGTCTTGCTGATTCCCAAGATGCCCTCAAGGCATCTTTCCTGTTGTCCTGGTGCAAAGTACTTGGCTCCTTTCTAAAGGTGTTAATCTGTTTAGCAACTGTACCCTCCTTGGTTGCAACTTTAAATGTGCTCCTTTTTTGACTAATCTGGAGTTTTAAAAAATCTTTCCACTCTGCTTTTTGCTCCTGATTCTCACTATAAAAGTAGCTAGTCATATCCATACCATCACCTGCATGGTGTGCTGCCTTTAAATTTTCTCTGCCAGATTAACTAGTCCATCCTTTTAACTCAACTTCACACAAATCTCGGGTCATGGGCAAAATGCATTCAAGTTCTTTGCCATACTGTAAAGAGTCTAATTCCCAACTAAGTCCTCATTCCCTTCTGAAACCCCATTAACGTTTAAAGTCTGCATTCTTATCAGCATTCTGGTCTTCTGAATCCTCACCAGAATTACCCATTAAGCTCTGCTGACAGCATTCTCTATCCTGCTTCTCCAAATTTTTCAAACTCCCCCAATAAACCAATTCAACAGACTTCTGAATCACATGGTCAGGTATAGCCACAGCAATAATCCCACTTCTTAATACCAATTTTCTAGGATAATCAGTTTTTCATTGCTGTGACAAAATAGCTGAGATGAACAGCTTATAAAAATGAAAGATTTATTGAGGCTTATGGTTTCAGAGGATTTGGTCCATAATCAGCTCACTCCATTGCTTTGGGGCTTGTGGCAAGGCAGAATTTCATGATGGGGCACATGGCTCACCTCATGGTATCTGGGAAGCAAAAAGGAGGAGGAAAGAGCTAAGGTTCCACTACCCCTTCAAGGACATGCCCCCATTGTCCTAATTTTCTTTTTGCTAGGCCCCACCTCTTAGGTTTCACAATTCCTAACAGTACCACAGGCTGGTGACCACATGGCCTTTGGGGATATCCAAGATACAAACTATAACAAATTCAATGCAAATTTCACTAACTTCAGTTCACAAAACATCTTTTATAGCTTTCTCTCTCTCTCTCCATTTGAGATTTATGGATTGCATTTGATGCCCCTTTAGATGTCTAGGGATGCAGAGATGTGACTTATGTGTGTTACTCTGCAATCTGGCACACATATAACATCATATACTAACAGAATCCAATGGAACTTCAGTAAAGGTGCTAAGGGTATTCCTACATTGAAAAGAACACAATTTTGGTATTGGAATAAGATGAGTTAGTCGTTGGTAAAGGCCATTAAACTGGTGTAAGTAGTCAGAATTTTCCTGTTTCATTTAGGACATGCTTATAACCCAGAAAAACAGAGACAAAGGTGGTATTTTTTTCATGTTATTTATTCGGTCAACTAGCTACATGAGGAGGGTAAACGAATTTATTGAGCTTTTTGGGGAGTCAGGGGAATAGGAGGGTGGTATTTAGACAGAACATAATTTTACAAATGGTTAAATGGAAGATTTACAAATATCCATGTTAAAAAAATTGTCCTCTGAGGGTAACAGTGGAAGATAAAAATCATCATTAAGAAAATAAATAAGCCACTTCTGATCATTGCATTCCCCAAAACCAAAGTCTCCACAACTGGTTTTCATTTTAGACTGTCACAATTTGCAGATGCTTAGATGATGCACATTTCCTACACAGAAAGACTAACACTGAGTGACAGATTAATACAATGCAGAAGGAAAATAGCTGTCATCTGCTAGCAAAAATAGATTTATGCTGATGTTAATATAAAAATTAAAGACATTCAAATAAATTATGCCAAAACATTGTAACTAATGCAACTAATGTATTCCTAAGATCATATGAACAACTTCTTATTGCTCCTACTTAAGACTAAAAGGTCTGAGGAATTCTACAACAGCTAGAGGCCATAATGTAACTTGTAGGATATATGGTAGGCCTGAATGAGGGTACAAGTGCCTGGTGAACACTTTATTATTTTTCTTTTAGGTTTAACCCATAGAACAAGGTCACTCATCAATCTGGAAACTGCAGATGAAGAAACGTGCTTGAGGCCCAGGTAAATGATTTATTGGAAGCAATTAAAGCATTATATGAGAAAAGCAGTAGCCCAAATGAAGTCAACATTAAAAAAAAAAAATCAGTTTGTATTTTTTTCTCCTGGAGTCTCCAAGGAAACCCATGAAGACCGGAAAGGTTGTTGGGTAGGTAACTGCACAGATGTCCTAAAGCAAACTCCCACCTGTTCAGTTAGTTCCAGAACCCTCTTAGCTGCTGGGAGCTGCAACCGAGGCTTTTGTATTACCTTTGATTCTTGGAAATAGCAACTTTAGGGTGCTCTGGGACCCAAATGGGAATGGATCTGCTTCCCCACTACACTGGAAATGCTGGTTCTTGAATAGATTTCCTGTAGTTTGGAGGAATCAATAGTGACAATAGGAACCCTGAGGCGCAGCATGGTTGCTTGCACAAGGTCCCATTTCCAAGAATATGTGTATAATTTACCATAAATTCGAGGTGGTAAGATTTTATGAATAAAATTGAGGTTAAAACATACCTCAAATGGTACACGGGGGCATTATTTAATTGAGAGATTAAAAGTCCAGGACATTAATTCTACCTCAGTTCTTCCCAAACAATGCCATATTTCTGTTTATTCATCTTAAAAATGTAAGAGTCCTAGACATACAAATTTGGTGGAAAGGTGCTTCTGAGAGAAAGAACAGAAGAAAAAAGATGCCACCCTCCCCTCCCAAGGAAGTTTTAAGATTTGAATATGAGGATGCATCACAAGCTGTTTAAATCTCAGGAAAGTCTTTTATAAAGACCCTGCTACTGACTAGTAGATTTTAAAATTTGCATATTGATCAGTACCATATTTTGTTCATCCTACTCCCAATTCAAATAAGATGACTACAGAGGTGATGTGTGGTTCACTTGTCCTTGTGATTCCAAAATAAAGCATACAATCATTTGAAATAACAATATTGGAACAATTAAAAAATTTCCAAATACTGTGTGACAAAGCTACATTCATTCAGGCTGTACATTCTGTGTTTGTTGAGTTTTTTTGTTTTGTTTTGTTTTTGATTCAGCCTGTGGAGCAGGCCTATTTAACAGCCAGTGTTACTAAAATTCTACATTTATCCTCACATTGTGAAAACTAGATTTGTTTTTCCCCTGAGGACCCTTAAATCTACAGCCTGTTTCTTCCTGTCTGTGAGCAGAATTTGGATAAATACTTGAAAAGAAAAAGAACAAAGGACATACCAAAGAATTGGATGGTGTCATTCAGCTGTTTAGAAATGGAAATGATATTCACACTGTGTTCATTTTAACATCTCCATAAAATGGAATAAATGAACCCAATATTTAATGAGTTGTTTTAAAATGCCAGTCACTTGCAGACTCCAAAAGGCTACTGATCCATTTTATATAACTCTCCATTTTGAAAAGGCGATGCTGTCCAATTGGTTATTTGATGTGACATTAGAAAATCATGCATACTTTTCCTGTTATTTATTTTACTCTTCATTCCAATCATTCTACATGTTCTGAAATTCTTTATATATCTAAAGATGTTTTCTGGAGTAATCTCTTTAGCATATCATGACATTTGACATATTTCATAGGATTGTTATGATCATCTGAGTAAAAGGCTTCACAATTAGACTTTGGTTTTAATGTAAACTGCACAGAAGTTAGAATTGTTCTGACAACACAATTCAACCACTGCACAAATTATATTATTGTAATTTGAAATAACACACTTCAAGGAATCAGTAGATACAATCTATTATCCAAGACTGCTGTAGAACTCACAGAGTGATACAAATGAGAAGAAAATTGGGAAAGGGGTAAGACACTTAAAGCTTTCTTGGAAGACAAAACAAAAGGAGAACATTGACTTTCTACATTTATCTATAAGGCAGATGGTCAAACTTGCTATACAAGATCTAAAATACAATGTTTATTAAGAGGTAGAAAATACCAGATAGTATTTAAGAAAAATATGTTGAGTTATTTAAGACAATCGTTATCTCGCTAAACTTTTAGAAAGTCAAACTCAGGTGTGCATTGTACTGTATATTTTTTACTAAACAGGGACATTCCATACTCCATAGACCTGTGGTTCAGGCCACAAAGGAGTCGGATGGGAAGCAGGAGATCACTTTTTAATTCATTAAGGACTGAGCTTTCCCACTAAGGAATAAATTCCTGCTACCTCTCTGGGATGTCATTAGGACTTTAAATTAATGGGGAATTCTCTAATTAAGGACAATTTCTCTGAGCAAGAGGGTATAATTCTGTATATAAGGCAATAAAACTAAAGGGAAGGACAAACTCAAATACTTCCCCTTCAAGAAGGTGTCAGATCCATCTTATGTAAAAACATACATTCCACTAATCTTATACCATCCTCTTTAACCACTAAAATGCAAATGAAAATATTCTTCAGAGTCCAGCACCAGCAGAATTGCTCGTCTGAGCAATTCAAGAGCTGTCTGAGGCAAAAAGATATCTTAGCTACCAAATTAAACTTGGGTAGCTTACACATGGGTGAGTAACCCTGGGTGTTCTTATTTCTTAATGCACCTGGGAGAGTTTGATTTATTTTTCTCCAACATAATTTTATAAGGCATAAATTTAATTTGAATTTTCCCTAACCTTTGGAAAAGTAGTGTTAAAGCTTCTTTTTTTTTTAAACCCACACATTAACATTCAATTCTTTCATTTTTATTAAATAGTTTATATATAAAAGGAAATATTGAGGTGTTCTGTATTCATATAAACAATCATGGTAACATTCGAAATTGTAAAGAAACCCACAGAAGAAAATATGTACTTAAATACTTACAATGCTAAGCTAAGCACAAGTGATCATTCTAGATAATATCTTTTAAATAGATAGACACAGTTTGTGCTGCTTCTAGGAGCAAACACAGGAGAAGTACCCTCACAAATCTTTCATTTTCTTTACTTTTTTTTTTTTACCACAAGACAGGATGGTCCAGTTTGGAAAAACCAAGATCTTTTCTAAGTTCCAAATAGGTGCCGTTGCTCACCCAAGAGTCGTCACTGGATTTCCTGTGAAAGAGGAAAGAGTTTCTTGCAGACTCTAGAAAGCATTCTCATATTTTCTCTCTCTCCCTCTTCTCCATCCCCTCCTCCCAATGATCATTCTCACATGCATTTGACCTCCCTGACAGTCCAGTATTGTGGGGAGCCTGGAAACCATTTTGTAATTTCTGACCTTAACTTCTGAAACTTGGAGGCTGCAAAAAGTGGTGCTTCTGAGAGAAGGACAGGTGGAGGGAGGATGTGTGGTATATAAAACATGGCTGGAATGACAGCCACCGCTCTGGGGATGACCTGTGTAATCTCTACACATCCACGAGGAGGATCGTAGGATGATAAGTTAACATTAAAACAAAATAAAGCTAGAAAGGATTGGAAGCCACAAGAGTCTGCAGAGAATGGTCTTGGTTTACTATTTTTTTGAATAGTTAATATACTACATAGATTGGAATTCAAAAGACACTAAAGAAAACATAGCTTTTCAAAGTTCTCTTTCTCGTCCTATCTCCCAGCCTCCCAATTCTTCTACTGGACGCAGTGATGTTATCAGCTTCATTCTGTCAGAAATATTCCATGCACACACATATACACACTCCACCCTCTCCAGGTTTTACATAATGGTAGCACTAGACAGTAATCAGCACCTGGAGTATTTGACAAAATATATATTGGAGATCATTTCTCAGCAAACTGCAGTCCAAGGATCAAATACAGCCTTCCACCTAGATACATATTTTTAGGGCCTCATGCATGCCAGACAAGGATCCTACCACTGAGCTACATTCCTAGCCCTGACTGTCTTTGAAATAATGTTTTACTGTGACACAGCCATGCGCATTTGTTCAATATCATCTGTGGTTGCTTTTATGTGAAAGCTGGGTTGAGTAATTGCTACTGAGACCTTATGGCCCATGCAAAGCCAGGAATATTTATTATTTGTTCTTTCTAGGAAAATTTGGTGACTCCAGCCATAAGGGATTCCTAATTTTTCTTTTAAAAAGTTGTAAGATGTTCCACACTTTTCTAAGTGATGCCCTAATGGTGAGCAGTTGGGTTGTTTTCAAACTCTCACCATTATAAATAAAGTATATGTTATTTTACACAAGTACAAGTATAGTTTCATTAAAAAATTCCTGTAAATAGCATTGCTGGGTCAAAGAGCATGTGTATTTATAGTTTTCACTGATATTATCATGTGTTTAGGAGCAAAAGTGGAGCACAGTTTCCCCACATTCTCAGGAACATAGATTTTTATCACACTTGCTTCCCTATCCCAATAGAGGGACACATTTCAAATGAGCCAGACTGTGTGTCAGATAGTTCACTGTGGAACCAAGAGACCTGATTTGGCCTGAGCTGCAGTTTCCACTTGGAATTTCCAGTGATGTTTTCACTGTTCTTTGACAGATGCCGACAGTAACACCCAAGCCCTCATGTTCCTCTCCAAAGCCCTTTGCCAGGTTTCTAGTTTGAACAGTTTCAAGGAGGACTGCGATAGCTGAACAACTCTCCTATTGAAAAAATCTTCCCCATCTAGTACTACACTGTAATAATAATCCTTTTATAAACAGTTGTTACAAGTAATTATATAAACATCCAAAAGGAAAATAAGAGTTGGCTGCCTGACTGTGGTGGTTTCCAATCCTTTTCCATCCCAGACGTTCTTTTTAGAGGACGGTAAAGACAGCACTGGCCTTACATCCACACTTTGCCTTTGAATGTTCAGTCGTTTCCCACAGAGCTCCACAGACTTGGTGAGGCCATTCTTAATGCTTTTATATCAGGTGCACTTGATGAATCTCCTTAACTAGTCTCCGAGACCATCTGGCTACTCACAATTTTAAATGATCCAAAAAATACTCTAATGACTGTCTCTGTAAATATAGATTTTCCTTTTTTTAAAAAAGATGAGACTAGGGCTGGGGATGTGGCTCAAGTGGTAGCGCGCTCGCCTGGCATGCGCGGGGCGCTGGGTTCGATCCTCAGCACCACATAAAATAAAATAAAGGTGTTGTGTCCAATGAAAACTAAAAAATAAATATTGAAAAATTCTCTCTCTCTCTCTCTTAAAAAAAAAAGATGAGACTAGATGATTTAAGAAGGAAAAAATAAAAGAACCACTATAGCTAAGGGTACGTGTATATCTCATTAACTTGTCAGTAAATCAATTGATTAAACTGTTAACTTATCCATTTTTCTATATGCTGCTTTTTTTTTTTCAATAAGGAATTTAAGACATCTCTCGAAAATGCTTAAATGAAGTTGTGAGTATTTCAGGATAAAACTCTAGTGGTGTGATCTTAAATTGCTAATATCCTGAGTGGGAGGAAGGAACATTAGCTTAAGGAAAAAGTGCATTATATTGTGGAGATGGAAACATTATCTGTTGCTGTTTTGATGTTTTGGGATATATATTTTAATGCTGCTGAGAGATTAGTAGCTAAATCCTTCTAAAAGTTATTTTATTTGTCCATTAAAAGCAAGCAAACAAATAAAATACCTCCAAACAACAATGCAACACTAGTTTGGGTCCTGAGAGCAGGATGTAGTGGGAGGAGAGCAAGAGCTGGGTATACTTTTGCCAATTAACTTTGAATAAAACAAAACAAGAACAAAAACAAACAATAAAAACCCCACTTTAAACCATATAGAGCTCCAGCCACGTTGTCAGGAGAGCCAGGTCCCCAAATGGGATGTTCCACTGGGTCCTGTATCAAATCACCTACATTCCCTGGGCCTTTGTTTCTTCTCAGTTAAAATTTAAAAGGGGATGGGGACAGTGAAGACCTACAATCTTTCATACCTCTTTTAAAAAATTAAGGCTAGGCTGGTTGGGGTGGCCCACGCCTGTAATTCCAGTGATTTGGGAGGCTGAGCCAGAAGGATTGCAAGTTCAAGCCCAGCCTCATCAACTTAGTGAGGTCCTAAGCAACTTAGGAAGACCCTGTCTCAAAATAAAAAAATAAAAAGGGCTGGGGATGTGGCTCAGTGCTCAAACGCCCCTGTGTTCCATCTCCAGTACCAAAATCAATAAATAAAATATCTGTTTTAAATAAGACTTTCTTAGCAAGTTATTTTAAAAATATTCCAAACCCAAGCACCCAAGTGTATTGGAATTTCTTCCATTCAAGAGTGAAATCACTTGGAATTCCACTTTGGTAGCCAGTGGGGCAATCATGCATTATCTCTATCACTGTATAAAATACATCTATGTGGGTGACCAAGCTTAGCTATGAATTTCGTAAGCTGGCCTGGTATTGGAACCAGCTCTGACTATTGCCCTGGCTTCTTCCACAGCATCTACTGAAACACTCCACCCACCGGGCGAGGCCCTGCAAGGATGCTGGGAAAGAGCCAAGGTTGCACAAAGGAAGGTGCCAGTCCCACCCAAGGACAGTGATGAGGAATGTCACAGAAGTCAGGCCCTGGCACAGAGAAGGGTTCTGCCATTCTGGAAAAATCCTCCAGAAGCTGTTGTCTGGGGAGGGGAAACTCTTGCTCTCTTTCTCCAGCCCAGCAGCACGAAACGTAGTCGGACCTCCCAACCCACGTCGGATCTAGGCACAAACCTGAAAAACCGAGGCTGGTGTTCCACGTTATTTTCTTCTAAGACCTTCCGCCTTTCTCTCTGTAGCTGTTCAATCCTCTGCTTTTGTATTTCAGCTTCTTCTATGTTCCCTTCTTCTAGAAATCTGAGGCATCGAGGGAAAAAAGTGAAGGATTATATTTCCAAGAAAACATAACAATCATTACTACTAAACTTCCACGTGTTCAAGACTAGATACTCAGAATCCTCTCCTACTTCTAAGACTCCTCTCCCAGCGCTTATCTTGAGGTAGAGAGGGTTATTTTGTGAATTGGTGATCTTTACATGGATCAAAATCTTGTACCTATAAAATGGAATTTGGGGCTCAGTCTCTATGGTCTCCAATTCCACTATGTCTCCCCAACCTTCCCACAGGCAATCCTCTATTATTAGTGTCTTGGGGATCTTTCCAGAGATTCTTTATGCATACTTATGCAAACATAAATGTATGTTCTTATCCCTCCCTCCCTCTTAAAAACACAAATGGTAGCATACTGCAGTATGATCTATAACCTTGAATTTTTCTTTTGCTTTCCTTTTTACTTAACAATATATCTTGGTGATTGTTTTATGGTAGTACTTAGACCTCTTCATTTTTAATAGCAGTGCAATATTCAATTGCATGGCTCTAAGTTAATTTATTCAAACAATTCCCTGTTGGTAGACATTTTAGTTCCTCATTTTAAAATTTACAATTAATGCTGCAATGAATGACTTTGTGCATCTGTCATTTTACACCCGGGAAAACATATCTGGAGGAAAAATTTTTAGAAGTGGAACTGCTGGGTTAAAGGGTGAGTCTGTAATTTATATGTTATCAACCTGACCTTTATAGGGATTACAGCAATTCACATTCCCATCTGCATGCTACGAGCAACCTTTTCTCTACTCAGAGTATATCAGATTTTAGAATTTTTACCAATCTGATAAGAAATGATATGTCCAAGTGGTTTTAAAATTAGCATTTTCATATCATGACCGAGGCTGATCTTCTTTTCATATGTTTAAGAAAAATCTGCATTGTGTATTTTGTAAACTGTCCATTTTCCTATGCCTGTTACTTTCTACAGTGTTGCTATTCTTCACAGTATGAGATGTAAACACATATTTCTATCAGTCACCCGTCTTTCAGCCTTGATTATATGTTTTTTTAAATTTGGTCACAAAAAAGTTTCTTTCCTTTTTTTAAAAATAAAGTCAAATGAGGTAATCTTTCTTTTGGCTTCTGGATTTTGAGACTTAATTAGAATGGCTGAAGGTCAAGATTATTATTCCATTTCACAGAGTAGGAATCTGAGGCTGAGAAGGATCAAGAGATTTATCATATATCACACGGCTTGTTAATAGCAAACCTAGTATCATAACTTAGTTCTCAAAATGGGTCTCCTGACCCCTCAAATACACAAGAAGTTCTTAATTATTGCATGCAGTGAAACTTTTCAAATCAAGATTTTCTTTTTATATTTCCATAGAAATAGAGCTACTGATAAATAAAGGCTGTGCCACACATAGATCGAAGCTGGTCTCCATCTCTTCCATGACACAATTGTTTAGCCTCCCATCCCTGACTCTACGACATTATCTACCTTGCTCAGTCTCCTTTGGTGGCCTGAAAGTTGTTTAATATGACTTTTTGTAGGATTTTTTAAAAATTTTACATCTCCAGAGAAAAAGATCTGAAAAAAAATCCTTACCTTTGATCTGGTCTAAACCGAGTGTCAGTCGGGGGCAATAAAGACTTTGACAATGAGTCCATTTCATTTAACTCCAATGCAAACTGTGTGAAGCCATAATATTGCTCATATCCTTTTGGCATGGGATCTAAAAAATAAATAAATCATTCATTCACTCCTAACTTGCAGTTCATTTAGATTACAATTTAATTCCTTTACCTTTTCCATCTCAGCCCAGCTACAATTGTTCTCTCTTAGCTCTCAACCATTCCATTTTGATTACAATATTCTGACTAACAAATAGGTGCTGCATATTTCTCTATAAATTTTCTTCTCTGTTAATATTCTATCTACAGGGGTAAGAACTCTGTTCGGTCCTACAGTGAACTGAAACAATGCTGTGAAGTTGCCATAAAGTTTGTTTTAAAATAATTTGCTATGAAAATAAACATGGTTAAAAGGACTCTGGTCTATTTTCCCTGACCAGTTAGAGTTTCCCTCTCAAGAATTCATTGTTTTTTCTTTTTCTTTCTTTCTTTTCTTTTCTTTTTTTTTTTTTTGGTACCAGGGATTGAACCCAGGGGCACTCAGCCACTGAGCCATATCCCCAGCCCTATTTTGTATTTTATTTAGAGACAGGGTCTCACTGAGTTGCTTGGCACCTCGACATTCTAAGGCTGGCTTTGAACTCATGATCCTCCTGTCTCAGCCTCCTGAGCCCCTGGGATTACAGGCGTGCACCACAGTGCCTGGGGAGAATCCATTTTTTCTTTGAGTGATATCAGACTCTCCTGAAACTGCCCAGTACCTGGAACAGTGTTGAACCATAGTACGTAGTCAGTAAACCATAGTACGTAGTCTTCTTTTCTTCCATTACTGCATTTCTTTTCACCAACTCTTGTCCCCTAAAATCTTACATGTTTAACTTTAAAAACCATTAAGAATATTGCCAACTTGAATTCCAGCTAAAAACCAAGCTAAACACACCCAAGTTTCTGTATCAGGTAAGCCAAATGTAGACTAATAAAACCCTTATCATATTAACTCTTGCTATTCGTATGTATAAATAAAAATGCTTTCCATGAACTTTTCTGAAGATTCACTTTTTGAAGCTTCAGAAAGTCCTCTTTGTAACTAGTCCAATTCTGTGTGTATCCTAAGCATGAAAATAATAGCAAAGCTTCCTATTGTGTCTTTCACCTCAGCCCCCAGGCACCAGAGAGCGAAGATAGTGGTTCTTCTTCTTCTTTTTTTTTTTAAGTAGTTTTTTTAGCTGTAGATGGACACAATATCTTTCTTTATTTTTATGTGGTGCAGAGGATCTAACCTAGTTCCTCACCCATGCAAAGCAAGTGCTCTATCACTGAGCCATAACCCCAGCCTGTGGTTCTTCTTAAAGATGGCCCAGGGATGCTCATAGCCAATGAGGAGACAGGAAGTTAGGAATCACAATGACAGCTTCAATAGTGTTACTTTGTCAAGACTCTACTTTAACATCCAGAGAGGTTGATAGTTCTCATCTTAGGTACTTCATGCAAAAGAGAGAGACTATCTCACTTGCAAAATCTCATGCATGCCTCTAAAGCTAACCACAGGGACAAGCCATTTTAGCCACACTGTGACCTCTGCCATGGTGAAAGGAGTGGCCGCCACCTATTGAAAGAGGCATTCACTGTGGCTGCCTACTTTATGTTCATTTCTCTCGCTTGCCAGAGGAACACTGATTCTGTTCAGGTGGCATTGTACTCTCCCCAAGGGATGAACCCACGTCCATCTGAATCTCTCCTGCCCACCTTCCTGCCAACCGTCGTTTCAAGAACAAGTCTGGGCCCATTTCCTGCTGACTTGATCTAAAGACATATTTTCTGGGGGATCCTAGGAAATACTGCATTCCTGAGGAAAGGGAAGCACTGGAGAACCAAGCTCTTCGTCCTCCCCTTCCTCCCCGCTTGGAGCACAGTCACATGGTGATGAGATATTGAGTTGTGACAACCTTTTAAAATCCACAAGGAGAAACACCATGGCACACTGAGAGAGGCAGGATGTGCTTCCACTGATCTATGTCTTTGGTCCCAGGTAAGATTGCCCATGTAACAGCCAGGGCCACCACCCTCTCTCACTGGTAAGCAATGGCACATAGCCTCATGGTTTAAGCCACTAATGAGTAGTTTTCTTTTTGGTTTTTATCAGCTCAAAGCATCCTAAGAGCTTTTACAACATGCCCCTACTTGGAAACAATCTATTTTTCAGATATGAAGGTGATTAAACATTGTGGGACATGTTGAGGAAGGCAGCTGCTTCAAGGGCCCACGACCTTCTGGAATCACAGGGGAGGTCAGCACAGCTCATGGGTTAGGTCAAACCAGGATCCTCACTCTTGTAGAGTCCCCAAGTCACTTTTTCCAGTAACACTTTCCTCTTGGTCCTTACTCTAGGATGACTTCTTGCACTTCACTGACCTTCCTTGGTAGTGCCCAGCACAGTCACATTGTGGGCCACAGACTGCCCATTGACTGGCAGTGGCCTATTCTGGGGCTGAGAACCCAGGACCTGGCAGCAGCTGCGGTGCTGTGGTAAGGACCTGGGGGAATGGTTAGGTGAATGAAAGAAGAGCAAATACCTCTAACCCGATTCAAAGCAGGTAGATACTGGATATACTATCACTTCTCGGCCTTTTGGCTAAGATCAAGTGATACTGGATACACTGAATGGAACTGATTCCTGTGGGACAGTGGTTCCTCTTGCCCCGGGCCACCTGCCTACTGTGTGCCTGGGGTCAATGGGCCCTGAAACTCACTTGCTCGCCAGAGGCACGTGGATGAGGAGGAGCCCCCGCAGTAGATGCTCTCATGCCATTTCCCAAAGAGCCTGTGCACTGCTTTCCCACTCCTGTCAAATACCGTGCCTTCGATCTCGTGGGCATTAGTACTCCAGTATTTTGCCTAGAATGCAAATGAGAGTTGTCTGTGTAATACTTTGGTGTCACCTTATTACAGATATTAAGAAAAAGCAAAGCAAGAGAATGAACGCTAAGAGGGATTCTAGACCGAATATTGCATATGGCTTGCCAGGTCTGGGGTTGTTTGTTTTGTCTGTCATTAAAATGTACAGCACAGTATTTTGAAATACGTATACAATGTGGGAATGGCTAAATCAAGGTAATTAACATATTTTGCCTCCCATATTTATTTCAGTGAGAACATGTGAAACTACTCTCAAGTACATGGTAAACCATCATTAACTATTCTTACCACTTGTACAGTGGATCTCTTGAACTTATTCCTCCAGTTTAACTGAAATTTTGTGTCCTCTGACATTTCCCTCAGCCTTCATCCACAACCCCTGGTAACCACTTTGATTCTTTAGTTCAACTTTTTAAAAGTGTGCATGTAAGTAAGATCATGTGGTATTTGCTTTTCTGTGCCTACTTGCCTTCACTTCTATGTCTGCTGGGTGCATCCATGCTGTGGCATATGATAGGATTTTTTTTGTCATGACTGAATAATATTCCATTGCTTGTACATAGCACATTTTCTTTATCCATTCATCTGTTGATGGACACAGACTAATTCCATATCTTGGTTCTTATGAGTAATGCAGCAATGAACATGGGGGTGCAGATGTCTTTTGGATATAAAGATTTCATTTCTTTTGGATATTTCCTTAGTATTGGGACTGCTGGATCATATGGGAGTTCCATTTTTAATTTTCTAAGGAACCTTAATCCTGTGTTCCCTGTTGACTGTACTGGCTTACATTCCGACCAAGGGTGTGCAAGTGTTCCCCTTCTTCCACATCCTTGCCAACACTTTCATCTTTTTGATAATAGCCATTCTAAGAGAAATGAGGTGATATCTCATAGTGAGATATATTTTGCATTTTCTTGATCATTAGTGATATTGAACATTTTTCATGTATCTGTTGGCAATTTGTGTAGCTTATCTGGAGAAAGGTCCTTTTTTTTTTTTTTTTTTTTTGGTTGGTTGGTTTGTTTTTCCTGTGCTGAGGATTTAACCCATGGCTTTGTGCATTCTAGACAAGTATATCCCTAGCCTCTTTGCCCATTTTTAAATTAGATTATTTGTTTTCTTACTATTCTGTTCCTTCTATATTTTGCATATCAACACCTTATCAGGTATACAGATTGCTAATATTTTCCCCTATTCAATGGGTTGACTCTTCACTCTACTGATGTTTCTTTTGATGTGCAGAAGTTTTCTTGGTTTGTTAAAACCCATCTGTTTATTTATTATTTTTTCTCTTGTTGCTTGTGCTTTTGGGTCCTAGTTAAAAAAAAAAAATCATTGCTTAGACCCTTGTCATAGAGCTTTCCCCTAAGCTTTATCTGAGCAGTTAATAGTTTGGGATCTTATATTTATGTATTTAATCCATTTTGAGTTTTGTATATGAGGTAAGTGAAAGGTCTGATTTCACTCTTTTTGCATGTGGATATCCAGTTTTCCCAACACTGTTTATTTAAGAAAGAGTTCTTTCTCATTGTGTATTCTTGGTATCTGTCAAAAATTCAGTTAATTATAAATGTGTGGATTTACTTTGGGGTTCTCTATTCTGTTTCCATTGGTCTACATGTCTGCATTTATGCCTGGGTTCAGGCTTTTTTTTTCTTTAAAAAATAATAACTTTAAAAAATAAAATAAAAAATAATAACTTTAGGGGCTCAGGTTGTGGATCAGTGGCAGAGCGCTTGCCTCACACATGTGAGGCACTAGGTTCGATCCTCAGCACCACATAAAAATGAATAAACAAAATAAAGATATTGCATCCATCTATAACTAAAAAATATTTTTTTAAATAATAACTTTAGTTATTTAGTAAAAATCAGTGGTTAAATTTCTATTTGGTTTGTAATTGGATTACTAACATTTGTACAAGATACATTTCCCCCTACCTTCCCTACATGCAATGTAGGAATGAAAGGCTCAGTTCTATTCTTGGTTCACAAGCCCCCTCCAATGGAGCAGCTGTTCCATGGCTGTCTTTGTGACTCACTTCTAGGGCACTATGCATCTGAATACTACAATTTAGAAGAAATAAATTTGTAACTCATATTTTTTTCCTTAAAGGAAGTAGTTATTTGCAAACCAATCAAGGATGATGGGGCTTACATTTGCAGTTTATTATTTTTCCCAAAAATTAGCACTGCTCGTTCAGATCACAGGAACGTGCACAACCCACGTTTTACTCTGTGTATTGGTTGCCTTCAGTGACTGATGCAGCCTGGCGCTCCATTCATTCCAGCTCATCCCCAGCACAGTTCAGCTCCGTCTTGTGGGTTTTGTACAGTACCACACTCCAGCCAGAAGAGGGAGCTCCAACTCCCTAGAGTTGATTTTTTTTTCAATTCTTCCCAACTACCTGGCTGCCCTTTAAAACCTCCATGAAAGAACAGAAGGCATTTCTCCATAAATCAAAAATCCCAGCACTATTTTCAGCTGAAAACAGAATCCACATTTGGAAACCAATAAAGATGAGTGGCATTTTCAGGCCATATTCTGGTGGTTCAATTTCTCCATTCCCAGGCTGTGGTAAAAATGGGAAGGAAGGGCAGGGTGTAACAGTATCTCAGAGGCAAATCCAAACTTTAAAACTGAGTGCTCCAGTCACACAAAAATGGAGGTGGTGCGGGGGGCGGGGGACAACTGTCCTTAAATTCTTAAGTTAATTATGAAGCAGAGGTCAGATTTTCTCCTAGAGATATTTGCCAAAAAATCCAATGCTGCCAATTCAATGGGAGGCCACAGAGTAGCCCAGCCATACTCCATAGGTAACCAGCATCTGCTGTCAGGTTCTTTTTCAGTACCAGTGTTCATTTCTCATAATTTCCAAAGTGGATGAGAACAAAGTAGGTGGTAGATGTTGGAGTTGAGCATATTTCCTTGGGGGAAATATTCAGAATTGGGTGATCCAGATCTTGCATGGACAAAAGGTAATATACTCCTGCTCCAGGTTGCCTTTTGATTCTTTTTTGCAGAGAGCTTAGGTGAAGCTTTCAAGATAGGGTCCTTTTTATTTCTCCCCAAATATAAGGTCATTACCAGCTTTATGTCTTTCTATAACCCAATTTGACTTACGGGATATCATAAAGACTCCAATCAATCTTATCATAAGTGTCCCCTACGGGTTACAGGTAGAGCAGAGAGGTATTGTATGAAATTCCACAACTGGAACCTCATCACTCAGCTCATGATTTTGATCTTAGTTAAATGCGAGTATTCATTGAGGAGGATAATGCTTTAAAGCCATTTTAAGTGCAAAAGATTTTCAAGGGCAAGAAGGATTCAAGGAGGGAGAAAATGTGGAGGGAAACCTCAAATCAAAGCAATTGAAAGATAAAAAGACTATTCTATACATCTTTAAAAAAATCTGACCAATCTTTCCACTTATTCTCTGAGTATGATGGGCCTCTGCTGTGTGCCAGGCACCCACCAGTTCCAGGCAGCAGAGATGATAAGATGGACCCAGTTTTTTTCTCTTGTAGAGTCAGGGATGGCAAGAAGGGTATGAAGGGTAGGAAAACAAAACGAGCAATTTCAGATGGTAACAAAAATTGTGAAGAAAATGGGTTGAGAAAGAGAGTGACAGGCAGGTTGGGTGGTGATATCAGGGTCTGGGTGGAGCAGCCCAGGAAGAAGGAAGTGAGGAAGGAGAGAAGGCAGAGTGGCCCAAGGATGGCGAGAAAGGACGAGATGGTGGTAGGAGCTGAGGTTGGAAAGGGGTGAGGGTGGTGTGTATATATGAATGTGTGTGTCATGCCTGCAAGTGTGCAAGTGAGTGTGTACAGGGCTGAGGGTAGGGAGTGCAGACTGTGCAGCACCCCATGGGCCATGGTAAGGATACAGAAGGAAATTGCTGGAGGATTTTGCTCAAAGGACTGATATGGCATGACTTTTCTTATGGTAAAACATACAAACATAAAACTTCCCATGTAGCCATTTCCAAGTGTATGGATCAGTGGTATGACACACTTGCAATGTGGTACAGCTGTCACCACTATTTCCAGAATGTTTCATCCCCATTAAATAACTCCCTATTCCTCCCTGCACCAGCCCCTGGCAGCCACCACTCTGCTTTCTGTCTCCCCGATTTGACTCCTTGAGGGACCTCAAGTGACTGGAACCTGCAGTATGTGTCCTTTTGTGTCTGGCTTATTTCATGTAGGAAAGCCTTCAAGGTGCACCCATGTTGGGGCGTGATGACGTATTTTAAAAGGCATTCTCTGGCTTTATGCTGAGGACAGATCACAGGAGGGTAAGGGTGGAAGGCAAGAAGATAGGACGGGCCTTGGCCCTTGTCCAGGTGACAAACAAAGGTGGGGCTGTGTTCGGGCAGCCCCTGGCTCTGATTATGTGTTGGCACAGAGGTGAAGGTGACAAATGCCCCAGATGCCCTTTGTCCTGAGGCACCAGCTCTGCCACAGCCCTTCCAGGGTCAATGTTCAGAGAGCCCCCCACCCCTGAATTACCTTTATGAAATTCACTTTGCAGTGGCAGGAATCATCATTCAGGTTCTTGATGACGATCTCTCCGTAGTGCTCAATCCACCTCTGTCCACTTAAGATGTTGTGGATGCAAGAGGTCACTTTGTTCCACTCAAAATGATCTCCAAAACTAGAAAGGAGGGAAGAGAAGTAGTAATGGTTCCCAGAGGAACCAGCAGCCGATACAAACACTAGCTGCATTACAGACTAAGTCTGGCAGAGTGTCACTCATCCCTTCACTCGGGGACCTCACAAGGACTGTGCCAAGTGGGCACTCGAGTGTCTGCTCTTCAAGGAGGATCTTCTGCCATACAGCACTCTGGAAGCCACCAGGGACTTTGCTAGAAGCTGTGGTTTCCTGGAGTCTCCTGCTCCCTCCTCTGATGAAGGAGCAGCTAAGAGCCAGGAGCAGCCTGTGTAAAGTTGTTGATCCAGGAGAGGGAAGAAGGCAGGAGGAAGGTACAGGGGTCTTACACAATTTGCTACTCATCTATTATTTATATCTTATACAATGAGAGAACACTCTGATTTTACTCCTGGAATTAAACAATAACTATGAAGAGACAGTAATAAGAAAAAAACCCTTGGGTGGCACTTGCTATGTGCCAAGTACTATTTTAAGTGCTTTACATATATTATCTGTGGAATCTTCACAACTGCCCTTTGAAGAAGGTGGTTTGTTGTCCCCATGTTGCCAGTGAGGGAGCTGCTGATGATAAAGGAAGGCAGCAGACTGCCGGAGGACCACCATGAGCAAGTGGCAGAGAGGGCATGGGAATTGACGCAGCCTGGTTCCATAACCCCTGGTCATACTCGTTTTGCTTTATAAATAAGTATCAATAATCTCTGCAAGATTGAGACTATGTCTTTTTATTTTTTTTAAGACCATGTCTTTCTAAAAAGGAATTTTTGACAGTGAGGCAAGACAACAGTGTTAAAGAAAACTACCATTCTTAACCTTGTTAGAGGGTAGAAGTGAATTTTTAAAAAGCATCTATTCAGAGAAACCTGTTCTGCAAGAGGCGTTTCTTCTTGAGGGAAAGAAAAAACATGAGACTGCCCAAATGAGAAATATCTGAACTCACTATCAAACAGATTAAAAGAAAAATCATACTCTCATTGCTATAGGGTTGGCAGGCATCCTATCTCTAAAGTGGGTTCTTGGCCCTAAATTCTGTAAAGTTCCTAATCACAAAAGAACAACTTACGCTGGCAGAGTCACATGGGTTGTGCCAATAGGAACAATTTCCATGGATTTACCCCAGAATTTGTTTTTCCATCTCACATCTGAAATGAAATACCAAATAATACATACTTAGTAAGACAGTAAGGTAGATCAAAGAGTTCTCAGGCTAGATAAATGATCAACAACCATATAGTACAATCATCAGTTATTATATAGGAAAATATCTCATGTCGGTAAGTACCAACTGGGTACCTAGAAAATCATAAGACAATCAGGGAAACTAAAACTATAAGACAAAAATCCTTCCTTTGGAAGTGTTAATAGCATGAAAGGTAGACAGAAGTGGAAACAACTTATGAGCACACAGAGAGGCCCAGGTACTCACTGAGTGTGTTATAACTGAATGGAACTAGAGAGGAAGGAATGACCAAAATGTCTGGAGAGAGCATCAGAAGAGGTTCATCCAAAGGGGCCATATAAATGAAGCTTGGTAGAATGTTTAGGAGTTCACCAGGCAGAGAAAAAGCAGCTTAAGGCAGAAGAAATAGCTTACTCAAGCAGACAGAGGTGTAAAAGAGTAGAATGTGGTTTTGTCCTATAGGTCCGAGGTTGTCTAGAGAGAAGAGTAGAGATTTAGATGGAGGGAGGAAAACAAAACAAAACAAAACAAAAACCCAGTGAACTCCATAAGCCTGGCTGAGAAGTCTGGTTTGTGTGCACTGAGGGAAAATAAACCCGAAACCCATGTGATTGGATCCAGACCTTGCAAAGACAAATAGAAGCAATGTGGAGAATGGAAAAAGGGTAGAAGAGATTAAAAACAAGTCAACAAGAGGCTACTGTAATCGCCCAGGGCATAAACAGGAATGAAGTGAATCATCAATAGCCGTGGGGATGCAGTGGTTCCATAAATATTAAAGGAAGAGAAATAGACAGGCTTAGTGGAAAATTATATAGAAATCAAGAAAGAAAGGGAGAATTTATGAATGATATCAGATTCTTCTAACTTGCATGAATGGTGGTACCAATCCAGGACACACGATTAGAGGAAGCAGGGAAGCCAGTGTGAGCCTGGGCTTGGGTCCAGCTGAGAGGTAAGGCTGAGACCAGGAGTGGCTAGCTGCATAGTATATGAATCTATTTATATGCAATGTCCCAAATAAGCAAATTTATATAAACAGAAAGTAAATGAGCAGTTGCCTAAGGCTGGGGGATGTTGAGGGAAATTGGAAGGGGCAGTATTTGCTAAGGATGTTTCTTTTGGGAGTGATGAAAATGTTCTAAGCTTAACTGTGCTAATGACCACACAAATCTGAGTAGAATAAAACCCACTGAATTGTGCACTTTATATGAATGAACTATAGTATGTGAATTTTATATATATATCGTTTAGGTCACCAAAGAGGTATAGCTAATAAGCCAACAGAGGGAATAATACAGAGTTACAGGAAGTACTCAATTAATACAAAAGAAGGGAGAAAAAAAGGAAGGGAAACAAAGAAGAGATGTGACAAACAGAAAACAAATAAAAAGAGGACAGTTTAACACAACTCTATCTATAATTGCAATAAGTGTAAAGATCTACACAACACAATTAAAAGGCAGAGAAATGTCAGATTGGATTAAAAAAAGATTTAAGAGTCATTGAACTATGAAAATATATGGAATCATCCAGAAAAATGGTTGGAGGAAGGACTGCCCAGGAAAAGGATGATGAGGAATAGAGTCGAGGAGGAAACTGTGGCCCACCTGGAGCACACAGGGACTACCTTGAGAAGACCCTGTCCACTAAATGGACAAGCAAAAAATGAACAAAAAACAACTTCAAAATAGCAAAGAAGAGTTATTCATGAGATTTAGCAATTAGGACATTAGAAACCTTAGGAGAATTGTTTCCAGAGAGTTTTGATGAAAGGTGGAGAGATTTCAAATCAAGCTTCAATTTTAAACTTTAACAGCAAAGACTGAGAAAGGAAGTCATGGTACTTTAAACTAGTCATATCAATTATCTCCAGAGAGAGGGACTGGGTGGCTGGGGAATGGGTGGCAATGGAGTCACAGCCTACTGTTTTGTACTTTTTGAGTTTTACAAAGATCTGTAGGCACTGTGGGAAATCAGGTGACATCATTGTTAGCAGAGAAAAATGCTTTAAAAACTGACATGTGCTCATTGTTTGAAAACCCAGGATGCTCATCTTTTATTTCTAAGTTAGACTCCAATTTATTTTTTAATAAATGAAGATGTTAGTAAAATGAATTCACCCATGTCAGAAATATTTACAGCCTTGTTTATTCTTGACAACAATTTGCTACCCTTTCCCATCCAAAATATAAATTGAACAAAATTTTAAGAATGACAATCTTAAAATGAAAAAGAAGTCATCAATATAAAATGTGATTTCAGAAGTAAGATTTCAATGTTTTGAAAGCAAAACTTCCCTTACTATCTATACTCTGATAAATAGCAGGAAATATTTAGTATCTCTTGAAATAAGAGAGGCATGACAAGTAGCCATGGAATAAAATAGACAAAAAGTTACAGGAATATATAGTGTCAACCTGACAAAGATGAAGGATTTTTTTAAAGGGAAAAACTAAATGATCTTTTTGAAAATATCAAACTAATATCAATTAAAATAAATCACTCAATATCAATAAACAATTGACAAATATCAACTACTCTTTAGAGGTAAGAGGTGAGAATGTCAAGTGGAACAGGTCCTCTAAAGAGACCTAAGTCTTGGGATTATTTGATCTTAGTAAGCATTTATAGTAATTCCTGAATCAAATAAATCTATAATCATTACATAAAATAGAAGTCAAATATTTTAGCACATTACCTTGCCAGAAAACAAAATTTCCAGATTCAGCGTGGCATGCAGAGATAGGTGGATGGTGGCTGACCTAATAGAGACAGAAGGCAAAAACCAAAAAAATGAACAAAATGTTGCATATCATGAAATATCTTCTTTTCTCCTTGATCTGTGATATGACACAAAGTACAGGGACTTCACTGAAAGAAAACTTCTGTAGTTTCCTTCAATAAGTCTGTCCTCAAGAGGGCGCTCCTGATACAGTCAGCTGTGAATTGCTCAGCTTGATCAGGGTGTAGAAAGTTGTTAATGGAAATCTCTGGAAACCTCTAGAAGCTTCCTGGGAATGTGTCCCAGTGGCAAATGATGAGGATAGAGAGGTATTTTAAAAGGTGTAAAAATAAAAACAGTCATTTGAGGACTGCCCATTCATAAACCAAATGATCTGACATTGGCTACCAGGTACTTTAGGTTTCTAAAAGTGCTGGCAAATATTTTAACTAAGATGTCCAAGAAAAAGCGTTTAACATGAAACTTCCAAGCAACACAAAAACACTCTCCCTTGGGCTCAGCAGATTTAACTCTTGAAAAGTGCTTTAAAAGCTGATTTAGCCTCATTAAATTTAGCCTCTTTTCAAATCATCTACAAGAAGACTGATCCAAGATAACTTTCTTTTTTTTTAAACTTTTATTTATTTTTTAGGTGTAAATGAACACAACACAATGCCTTTATTTTTATGTGGTGCTGAGGATCCAGGCTGGGTCCTGCCTATGCTAGGCGAACACTCTACCACCGCTAAGCCACAATCCTAGCCCCCCAAGATAACTTTCAAAAATAATAATTTCTGTAATAAAAAGCTAAACAATTATAGAAAGGTTCATTAGCTGTTAAGAATTATGTATTTCTTTTTTGTCAAAATAAAAGTATCTTGAATAAAAAAAGTAATTATGTCCCAGAAAAGACAATCCCTACAACAGAGACTACCTTTTGATGTAGGGTCACTACTTGTTTTACTCACTAATTAAGAAGATAAAGAAAAAATGGCTCTCCTTCCATTTTCTCTTTATCTTAGTAATACTCAAGGAACATGTTCTGTCACCATCATTCAGCGCTTGGTGAAACCATGCTGGTAGTAGTGTTTCTAGAAATTTCTCTGAGTTAGCTGGTTCTTAGCAGTAATACCTTAAGTTTAGAATATTTAGCCCAAAGCCTTCATATTGTAAACACAGAGACTGAAACCAGAAAGATTAAGTAACATTTCCTTAAACACTGGTAGTTAGGGGAGAAATAGAGGGGAAACCCAGTGTTTCTGGTTTGTCTCAATTGTTTTCACTCCCCACCCCACCCCCCCAAAAAAAGTTTTAAGTAGCTGTAAACTGTTTTCAAACGCATAAAGCACTCAGAAAACTGAGTCCAGCCTGGGATGGACAGGTGTGGGTATGTTTGAGGAGAGGAAAAGGACTTCAGATAACAAAGCCATAGCCACTTGCCTTGATTTGGATCCCAATTGTGCAGAGGAACAGGATTTGAAACGTGCTCTGCGCTCCCCACTCCTGCAGGTGGAGAACTCAGGGGTGGAGTGATGCTGAGTTGTGCACATCACAGACATGTGTGGCCAGTGGGATTGCAGCAGAACCCACTTGGGCCAGAGAGGAGTACAGATAAGGACTGACAGAGTGTAATCTTTCACGTGACTCAGGGAACTTAACCTCCAGCTGCTCTATGACGTAGGGGATGCAAGTGTGTGGTCACTTGGTTTCTCTTAGCTCTCACATGCCTAAGAATGACAGTCCCTCACTGTCCTTTGGGGTTTTCCGGGGCAATTTTCACTTTAAACTTAGAAACCTAAGTCCTATAAAAGCAAATCTGTGTTTGCCTTTGATTTTTGTTTATGTTTTTTAAATCCAACCACTTGGAAGTACTTTCATATTACAAAATGCTGCATCTCCTTCCTCCTTTCTCTCACCCAGAGAGCTCTCGATGAAAACAGCAGAGTTAACTTTAAACCATGGGATCATATAAAAATAAATCCATGTCGGACAGTCCTTACCTGCCCCTCCACTTCCCAGCCCCGCTTGGAGTGGGAGGAAACTTAGGGAGTGTTCCTCTCTCCCGAAAATGTAGACATATTTTAAAGTGGATTATTATAATGTAGATTATATTCATCCCACAGAAACAATATAATAATGGGGGAGGTGAGCATTATAGCTTTATTCAAGAACTTGGCATCTGTTATAGATTTAGCTAAATATAAACATCAAAGCAAAAGAGAGTATATAAAAATTAGGCACATATTCTGCAATATAGTAAATCCCATAAAACAGGATAAATATATTGTCCATATGATTTATAAAAGATGACCTATCAGAGTCAGAAAATCAAGGGACAAGCAAAATAAAGGAAGGAGGAGGGCAGGATCAGGTATCATAAAGCCAGAGGGAAGGTCATAGAGCACAAGGAGGAGATAGGGAGAGAGGAGGGGTAGGAGAGGGGGGGAAGCGCAGAATGAATTTTTAAAAATCATGCTATAGGCATATAAAATATTCCACAGGGAATTTCACCTTTATGTATAAGTAGAAAGAACCAATCAAAAATAAATAAATAGACGAGTGAAAGAAAGACCAGAAGAGTAGAGGAAGGAGAATGAGGGAAGAGAAGAGGGGACAGAAAAGGCAGGAAACGTGAACTGAAATTGAATTCCATGCTGTGGGATCGTGTTGGACTGAACCCGATTACTAGGTATAACTATAATCCTCCAATTTAAAATAAGGGACTATTATGCTATTATATATACATCTGATAAAATACAACTTTGATTTAAAAAAAACTATCATGCCAGATTAATAAACCAATGTTTAGCAGAATGGCCCTAGATGGGCCCAAAAGATGCTTTCCAAATGACTAAATATCAGCATTCGTGTATCAGTGATTTTGCTGATTCCCCTTTAGGTTAAATGGGTCTTTGAGAAAGGTTTATGTGCACCATTTTGCTTTTAAGAAGTTAACAAAGCTTTCTGGGGAAATTTACAAAGATGCCTTCTTTTTTTAAATACATTTCTTCCAAGAGCACTTATTTGTGAAATGTTTCTGGATCATGAACCACGGGCTGCACTAGGGTCAGGAAGTCAGGAGACCTTCTGTTGTCCCACCAATCCTGGTTCTAATTCTGCAATGTCATCTGCTGTCTGTGTACCTTTGGGAAAATTTCTTAATCCCTTTCAGCCTCAGTTACCTTGTTTGTAAAACAGGACTAACGCCACTGATGGCCTATACAAAGAGACCACACATTTAAAATGTGTACAGAATTATATACTGTCCAGGATCAGGCAGAGGCTAGATTTTAATTTTTCTTGAGTGTATGAGAGTATTTCCACCTGGTTTTCATGGTGACCTTTTATCTTCATTCACTTTATTTTATAAATAGAAAGACAAGACTTGCTCAATGCTACACCATTAATGAGTGACATAGGCAGCATGCAGTCCCAAATCCAGGGCTCTTTTCTCTATGTCCCAGTAGCCTTTCTATGTCTCCCCTCAAAGTGGAGCTCCTGTCCCTCTCAAAGACACTGCACATCATTATAGTCCCTTTCTGTGAACATTTAAAGAAAGCATCTTTTGAATCTGACCTTTCCCACCTCTCTGAATCTCATTTATCTCTCTGTAAATGAGGTCTGAGGATCTCTCTCGGCTTCAAAATGCTGTGATTCTAATATCTGCTCTCATCATCCTCTCTGACTCCCAGCACCACAGGGGCCAGGGGATGCCAGCCAATTTGGAAATATGATTCTAAGGCTCTGAATAGCTTGAATGCCCATGGGAAGGGATAATTTAGAGTTAATCCCTTAATCTTTGGTGATGGCAGTCTTTCTACTGAATAATGAACATAACCTAACCTGTATTTGTTTATATGGGATTTGGTTTGGTCTCTATTATTATTATATCTTAATTCAGGACCCCCCCCAAAAGGCAATAGATGCTTTTGAGTTTGAACTGATTCAGCCCCAGAGGAGATACTCAGCCTATAAGACGAATAGAGGCAGACCTAGCTTCCTGCTCCATTGCTTCTCTCCAAAGAAAAGCAATTCCTAATTTGTAAGGATTCCTAAGGACTCAATTAGTATATTGTTTTACTGTGCAAGTATTTATATGACCTTTCTTTCTTTCTTTCTTTCTTTCTTTCTTTCTTTCTTTCTTTCTTTCTCTCTCTCTTTCTTTCTCTCTCTCTTTCCCCCTCCCACCCTCCCTCCCTCTCTCTCTCTCTCTTTCTTTCCAGGGATTGAACCCAGGGGCACTTAACCACTGAGCCACATCCCCAGCCCTTTTTATATTTTGTTTAGAGACAGGGTCTCACTGAGTTGTTTAGTGCCTCACTTTTGCTGAAGCTGGCTTTGAACTTGTGATCCTCCTATCTCAGCCTGCTGAGCAGCTGGGATTACAAGCGTGTGCTGCTTCACCTGGAAAGTCGTGTATCTTTCTTCCTATGAGCTTCACTGTAATTCTTCTAATTCTTAAGAACACTTATAATTCATTATTTATTTACATATATGAGGCTTTTCTTTACCCTGCTATAATCATTTTGATTTATGCTTTGGAGGTATTTAATATAAGAGTTAGGTGGTCAAAGGAGAAGCAGATGAGGACAAGATATATTTATTTTGTACGTTTTTCTTTTTTGGATTTAGAAAAACATCAAACATATCACTTTTCTCCTGTAACTGCCCAGAGACAGAGCTACATAGCTCTCCTTGTTCCTGCACCCTACAACAGTGTAGGACAGCTTATGGAAAAGAGAACATACACCAGGTGAAAACAACCACCCAGGGAGGGGACCAAGGGGCCATTCTTCCCATGTCATTCATCATTTACTGTCTGACTTGAGGTGTCATGCACTGTCCTAGTTTCTGGGAATAAAATGATAAACAAAAACAAAACCCCTCACCTTCATAATACAGTTTATATTTTAGGGCAGAAAAGGACAGCAGACAAGACAAATAAGCACCTCATCTGTCAGTAGTGACAGGTGTTAGGGGGGACAAAGCAGAGGGTGAGGATAGAGGTGTGGGTGGGGAGCAAGATAGCACTGTCTAACA